GTATAATTCTAATAGATTACCAAATTCAAATTTTAATTCACCATTCAAAGAGGATGAGAACGATTATGATCGAGAGGAATCAGTTAAAATGTATGACACGTCGCTGTTTCATTTATACAGACCAGAGAGAAAGGAAGATGGCAAAGGATTTGGAATGACAGGATCCATATCAGATAGTATCTATAGTCGATCAATGGATCTCTCGAAGTCAACATTTCAATCGCAATTATTAGCTGGGTTTGCAGCATCTGTGATTGCAGGTGGGTCGCAGAATGAAACCCAGGAATCCACCGGTAATAGTCTTCTTATTCTATATTTGTTGTATAGTTTTAATGTTTTTTAAACTAATCAAATATTTAAGGCATAGTGTATTTATAATGACTAAGTTAACTTGGTTAGGTAGTGCGCGGTGGGAATAAGTTTGCGAATGTACGAGGGATGTTCAATAAATAGTGTTAATGCTATCGCATTCACATTCACCTTGGAAAGAAAAAATAAATACTGGCCGGTAATGCCCAAACAGTAGATAATAAAAATCTTCTTTTACTTATTTAAAAATAGAGTTCATTTGTTTGCATCCGTCGGAGCGTGTCGACGTCGTCATCTTTGTATTTTTAAAATGGATATAATGAAAATCGCGTAGATAATCGAATACCTCTATTACGGGGATTTTGTACACAGGACAAATAAGAACGTTGCGGGAGGAAATCGCCCTGTCGCCCTTTCTCATTCTCTTAATCGGTCTCAATAGCTCTCTCCCTCTTCTTCGGCAAAAACGCTGCATATCTTTGTGACACTAATATTATTATTATTGCGTTTCATCCGTAAATATTTTACCCTCATGCGCCTAAAGAAGTTTCACTTCATCAATTGGCATTGTAAAAAACCTGAAATCGATTTTCGCACATCTCATCACACTTACTATCTTTATCGTCGGACATTAAACGCCAATTAATTTTGCTCGGATCATAAGTCTTACACCATACAATGAACAATAAAATTAATGTAAGTTACGATAATGGTAATGATTTCCCAATATTTCAACGTACCGAACAAATAAAGTAAGGAGCCGATTTTCCAATCTTGCTTACTAACTTTGCAGATCGCCAACCTTCCAGCCGTAATACAGCTAGTTCAGGGAGAAAACCACGACGGCGACGCACAGCCTTTACTCATGCACAGCTAGCATACTTGGAACGCAAGTTCAGATGTCAGAAATACTTGAGTGTGGCTGATAGAGGCGATGTTGCGGACGCTCTCAATCTCAGCGAGACTCAAGTTAAGACTTGGTACCAGAACAGAAGGTAACATTTAAATTGCAATTAGTATCGTAAATTTATTATTAAAGTTTAAAAGAAAATTCATTACAAACTTATAATCTATTTGGATTATAAATTGTTATTAAATGTATAAGAGCAATGTTCGCCGAGTGGCTACAACGGCTGTGCACCGCTTGTACGGTGAAGGAAAACATCATGAGGAAACCAGCTTGCCTTAGACCCAAAAAGTCAACGGCGTATGTCAGGCACAGGAGGCTGATCACCTACTTGCCTATTAGATTGACAAATGATCATGAAACACATACAGAAATTTGAGTTGTAGCGCCACTGATTATTTTTATTTAATGTAATACAGTCAGGATCCTGAAGAGGCGTTTAATTTTTAGTATTTAAAAACTTCGATACTCATAGATATTTTATTATATTTTTTATAGGACGAAATGGAAACGTCAGAATCAACTTCGCTTAGAGCAACTACGTGCGCAAGCTGCCAGCGGTGAACGTGAACTGACACATTCTTTGCCCCTCGCCTGCGCACTGCTACCCCCTTATCCTGCCTACATGCACTGCCATCTATAAAGCACAATATAAAACCGTAGTTTACATAATATAAAACCTCTTTTGTTGGCAGCTTCTAGTATGAATGACGAATTTGTATAGTGTGTAGATGTATGTAGATATGTTTTAGAATAATTATAAATAGCTCCTGATAATCCGATTTATAGATTTTTTTGTTAATATAATGACGTGCAATACTACATTTTGATGTATTAATTTGTTATATTTTGTGAGATTATGTTTCTGTGATTACAATGTAAATAACTCACTGGATAAATTTAGATTATATGTCTTTAGATGTTTTTGTGTTAGGAACATTTATTTCAATATGGTTCAATAAATATGTTAATTCAATTGGTTTTTAATTATTGACGGATACCTAGAAAACACAGTAACACGAAAAGATCTCGATGTAAAGTAAGTTCTGTGATTGTTTGAAGCCACGAATAATATAACCTTCAACCAGCTAAAAATCGTACAATCTCAACTTGGAAGGAATTGACAAATGATTCCCTCGGTTATATACTTAATAATGAGCATAACAGCCCAATCTTGTTAAAATCTTTCTATGTTAAACGTTTGTTAAAATGGTGTTATGATCGTCGTATTATGACTTATTTACATCAATCTCAGTTTCACAGATAAGATTTTGACGATATTAATTTTATGAAGTCATAAAATATTCGTTATAATTTTATTTTCTATTTGATGAAAATAAAATATACTTGTGCCTGATGTTTTGTTATTATTATTTTTTGAATTGTCAATTATTTAGTTTGTTTTGCTATTCTATTTTCTGTTTTAAATGTGTTTTTATGTATATTTAATTTAAATAACTGTTGCCGTATTTTCGTATTTTCAACTGTTTTAATTCCTGTTAAATAAATAGATAATTTAACTGTTAAAAAAGCGAATCCTTAAATAATTCAAATTAGAAATTTAACACTTCGTAAATTGAAACAATCACCGGGCAAAAGCCAGATTATGATAATATCATGCAGCCATTTTGAATCACTGCTCCAAACAATTTGCATCTCTTACAAAGTTGTTAACGGGTACCCTGTCTGAGCTTCAAGCGCTTTATTTTGCTTCTGTATACGAGTTTGTCTAATTTGAGGTGCTTTGTTCTACAATTTATGCATAATTGTTTCAAGTGGCGTAAAATAACTTCGGGCAGATACTTTTCGATATTTTTTTTATTAAATATGATAAATAGAAACTAGTACTTTGAACAAAAACTATAAACATTTCTAAGTTAAATAAATAAGGGCTAGATTAGCCTACGGCGGTAGAAGACTACTTAAAACTTGCATGCTGCAATGATATTGTGTTTCAGCAAAGAGAAAAATTGCAACTTATACCTGGTTAAGCTTTTTAAAGAAGCCTTAAAGAGTCAGGCAGCCTCAAGGAACTCATGACATGGACATGTGTTAATAAGGTTTTTAGTCCCATGCTGCAGCTACGCCTTTCCAAAATTATTTTGCCCCTCCCCCATGTAACATACATCATTTTGAATATTATAAAATTGAATTATTCATCTAAGAAACTTAAATGATAGGTTTACGAAAGATATCGCTAGCAAATTATTGACGAAACACAGTAAGTAAATTTTCAGAAGATATAATGAAAAACTGAAATTCAAGTTCCAAGTATGTCAAAAATGGAGCCCCACGGCGGGCAACAATGATAAAATCTTCATATGATCTTATTTTTATGTGTCTTATCTTGTGTACGTCGTACTCTCTACCACTACTCTTGTTTTTAATGTTTGGCATGCTCCTTTCCATGCCTCGTTGAAATATATTTATATTGTTTTTTGTTGTATATGTAAATTTCCATGTTTGGCATGCATATGTTTTTGCAAATACAATATTTATTTCACGTACTTTTAACTCTTCTCTTTATTTCTTGATCATTTCATTTCTCTATAATATTCTTTTATCAAAGTACAAAGTATGACTTTCTTGAATCGTTTCTGGGATATATTTATAATATGGTACGGGTTCAGAGTTTTTAAGTTTATATGTAAGTGCAATTTTCTGGTGTATTATAAATGCAACTTGAATCTTGATCATGACGGTGTTAATTTATTATTATTATATTGGTTGGTTTTGTACAAATGAAAAATGAACCATCAATTTACAGATATCAAGCGAATGCTAATTTTAGGTAGGAAAAATTGTGATTATCTGAGGGTTATTAAAGGGGTCGTGCTGTGAGGTAATTGGGCTGTTTTGATCCTGGGAGGGTTGGCTAATTGAAGTGTTTTCTGCTGGGGCGGTTTGTGAATGGATTAGTTAGGCGATATGTTGTATTTTCTTGTAAACTGTCATTATCTTGTTAGAACGGCTCACAATTTATATTTATTGTTACGAGTATTACTTTGATCGTGATTAGACATTCATATTAATGGATATTATAGGTTTTAATCATAAAGCGGTTATATGATTATTATCTTATGTATCTTTACCGATTTTAGCAAGAGTTATAAGTGAATTGGTATAAAGTTCTAATTATTTAATTATGCGATATGAATGAGGTTTTAGTGGGGCCATCTTTGGGTTGGTATATGTAATTACCGAAGGGGTCAATTATCTAAAGAACGGTTTTTAAAATAATTAATTTGAATTTGGTTTTATGGAAGTTTTATCCAAATGTAACGCATTTCAATATTATATAGATGAAGATTAATGTAAAACTGCACAGCACATGGTATATAGTGAATATTATTAATTTAATTATATTATTAATTTATTTACACTTCGTTACCTAAGACATACATATACAAACATGTTACATAAGTTGTTAGGCAACAAGCGGATTAATATAATAGTTTATCGTAATAATCCAGAGTTAACCTTTACACCACATAAATTACACAGCTTTTGTTACATATATATACCAGTATGGACAAAAAGCCTTATGGTAAACTATAATGAATCCGAAGCAGATTTTTTTTCATAATTAATTGTTCTATACTATGAAAAATAAATTTAAAAATGTCTTAACTTAAACGCGAATGCCACACGCGAATGCCACACACGAATGCCAGTAGGTATCAAAAATACTTGATTACAAAGAGTTTTGTTTATGTAATGCTCTATTAACCATAAAGCAACAATTCCACTGTTTTATGAAATCAAATCCGTGTATACTTCTATAATGACTTACAAGAGTTTTCTGTTAATATTGATTTTTGATTCTACTTTAAGTGTTGATAAAAATGCGGAAATAATTGAGAAACTGAAGGAAGAATGGCACGTATCAACTTTGAAAAGCACAGATTTTAACGAAGGTATTTGTGACATTTCAAACACAAAACAAAATGATGCTTCCCAAATCGAGTTCGTATCGAGTGATCCGTTGCCATTTAACGAAACTGATATCATTCAGAATATGTGTATACGCAACAAAAATGTTAAAAAGAAACTGTATCATGGTGATATACACAGCACAGGCGAAGCAGATTCCATTGCTACGAACAGTACAATAAATAGAGAACCGACTCATAATAACGCTACAACAGAAGCAAGACGTGTGCATGATTACCAGTTCAGTTCAGTAGAATATTATGATGAGCATCCCGAGTTCGATGAATCTCATTGCCCTAATGATGTGGAGGTTGTGGAACTGGAGTTGGATGAACTGAGGAGTTATGATCTTGAATGTGAATTGATTATTGAATGGCGAAGTTTAGATTAATAAATAAAAAAATAAAAAAAAATCATTTAATTCAGACCATTAAAAAGTCCATAATATATTGTTAGTAAAGTAATACTTATTGCTATGTTAGTAAAATTAAAATTAGCAAAATTATTAAAGACACAAAGAAGAATACATTTAATTCATATATCTACGTTGATTCGAGGCACCAGGCACATGGGCATGTATATGAACCCAATGCCTCAAAACAGCACATTCGGGTTTACCTATAACCATCAGGACATTGTTAGTACTCGCACGAACCCCACACATCAGTGAGGCTGTCCGTTTGGGGATGATTGACGAAAAATCATCCACGTGTGCATCCGCAAACATACCTGATGCGCTACAGTACCGCGGGAGCCCCAACAACATCCTGAAAGCATTATTATATTGCACTATATATAATAGACTATATAATATATATATATATAATATATATATATATTTATTTATATAGTCTATTATATAGTCAGATTATTAATAATACCGTAGAATAGTATAGTTGATTTTTTCGTGTTGTCTTTTTTATTTTTTCCTTATTCCTACAGCTACTTATTATACAATATCTGAACTATTACATTATACACAAAAGCCAAAAAAGGAATACACATTCAGTCATAAACATAAAACACAGTTAACAATTATTACTTACTTATAAAAAAATATATATATATAGGAATATATTATAAATCGTAAGGTGCATTGATCATTATAATATATTTGTTATAAAAGAGGAATAACAAAGCCTGTATATCTAATAAAGGATACCAGAGTTTTTTATAATATTTTTTAAGCATTTTTTAGTTACATTAAAATATATATATATTTGCTGTTGTAATTTGTGTTATAATCTGAAGGTATACGATACATGACTGAGTTACGCAAATAGTTTGTACTAGACCGATGAATTTGAAATGGAGTTTGCCTTTCATTGTAAGATACATAAGTTTTTATCACTTTCATAAAAACTTTATAACACTTATTTAGATAAAGTGCTCCTTACAAAATGTGCCTAAGAAAGGATGTTTAATTATTTATCTTATAATAGTTGATAAAAGAGGAAGAGCAGTGTTGGCCTAGTGGCTTCAGCGTGCGACTCTCATCCCTGAGGTCCATCGATCCCCGGCTGTGCACCAATGGACTCTATGTGCGCATTTTACATTCGCTCCAACGGTGAAGGGAAACATTGTAAGAAAACCGGTTGGCCTTAGACCCAAAAAGTCGACGGCGTGTGTCAGTCACAGGAGGCTGATCACCTCCTTGCCTATTAGATTGACAAATGATCACGAAACAGATACAGAATTCTGAGGCCAAAAAAGGTTGTAGCGCCACTGATTTATTTTTATTTTTTTAGTTGATATAATATAGTAACAAAAAACTTATATATCTTAGTTACTTATCTATGTTATAAAATGTTTATTTTTATTTTAAAAGCACTCTTTGTCACCATGGACAAAACATGATGAATTTAAATAGCAATAGCGGGTAGTATTCGACTACGGGTAGTACTTATTAATGAATGTAAAATAAAAAATTACATAATAAAGCAATTTAACCCAATTTAATTAATAATTTTCGTCTAGATTGTTTTTAAAAGATTTCAGGTACCTAAAACTATTGAGCAAACATTGACGCGGTTGCTGCATGGTGTTTCCACAGTATTGCTAATTTAGGAATATACTTTGGAAAGTACTTACGAAAGGTCTTCAAATAAAGGGTTTTTATTAATATAGAAACTGTATTCTAAGTATAAACTCATGGAGTATTTTTACATAGTTAAAAACTAGGATATCAATAATAAAAAAAATTTAAGAGTAGAATTAATTAAGATGTTGGAGATCTTAATTAATTTAGGATAATTAATAAACCTTCTAGGAAAGTGATTTTAAATTTTTAAGGTGGCTAGGATATTTTTTATATCACCAAACCTAGTTTAGTGTAGCGTGGACTGAGTTTCTACAACTAGACTCTCATTTGGTCCGTTATGCGTTTAGTCTTGGCTAATTAAGCCAGCCTAGCTCCATCCAGAAGCTCAGAAGTTTCCGGGGCACTTCGCAGGCATCACTGCTATCGGCAACCGAATTGATAGTAAAAATAGAAATCATTTCCTATAACCTTATATTTATAAGTGCGTGACGACGTTAGCAGATATCTCTATCTAGCAGTATATTGGTTAATATTATTATTTTTTAGCTTTCAAACATCACACATGTAAAAATGAGGATAATCAGATAGTTATGAAATATATAAAGGATATACACTGGTGAATATGACATGAGAACTTAAGAAGGTGCAAGGCTCTTTATTTGTGTGCTTATAAAGTACATATATCCACCTGATCAAAAATTACATACAAATGTAATATAATACTTTGATAACAGCTTTGTTTTAGAAACTACGAGTACGCCATCTGTAGTTAAAATCACCTAAGAATTGTTAATTGAATTTACTAGATGGCACGCTACGCTTTTAACAAAATGTCAAAAATCAATATGGTTTTTCATGGTTGTGCACAAAGTTGATTCGAAATTTTTGGCGCTACTACTTGAATTGTTCCTCTTTTCCGATAGAGGGCACAATAAACAGGGTGAGCTTATGCTTGGTAGTTGTTACCATTATTTTAGTACTCTACCGTTAGGAAAAGTTATGATAACAGAGGGCGCGTTTCAAATTGTAAGAGAAAATAACACAATATCATGGACACAATTCACTTGAATTTCAGGAATAAGTTTGTAGAACGGTCGTTAGGTGGCACCGTCAAACATTTTAAGTATTTTTTGTTAGACAAGCGCCCCTGTCTTTGCAGGTGCCCATGGGCGGTTGTTAGCACTTTATTCAAACCTTTACTTGCCTCCTATCTCATAAAAAAGTATCTTCATTTTTAACAACAAAATTAATATATTCTTTTTTAAATCTATGTTACTGCAACTTATAAGATACCTACTTAAATTATTAAGATAATAGTTTTGAATCCTTTTATATTGATTTATATGGTATGGTTCAAAACAGCTGAATATATTTAAGTATGGACACAGAAATTATATATTTTTGATATATTTTAGTAAAAAAATAAGTTTAATTTAAACATCTAAAACCGCAAAGGTAATAGGGTAATCAGGACGCAATGTGAACACATATACGTTTATAATAGGCAAAGAAACCTTTGTAAGTAGGTTACTGGCGCCAACCTTGAACTGACAACAGTGTGACATTCTTTTCCATACAAACTATCGGCTCTCTATTGTGAAGGGCAGAGGAGCAGGCTACGGGAGCAGGTCACTTCTTATGACGCTTGTAACACAGTACAATTAAAATTGGAGGATTAAGGACCACGGACTAAGAATAATTTTAAAATCCGAATTTTATGCACAGAGTAATGCACTGACTGACGTTCTCTATAAATATTTGACAATTTACACTCTAATAAAATTGTTTGGTGATTTTGTGACAAAACATTATCTTTATTTTTTACGTACAGAAAGTACGGATGTATTTTATCGATTTAGCTCAATAGTAATTACTATGAGATGAAACTAAAGCACTAGAGAGAAACTATTTGTTCCCGAAGATTCGGGTTAAGGATGAAGTTATAGAAATATTGAAGATTTCCTAATGAGAAAACTCCCTCGCTGCCAAGTAACACAGCGTGATTGGATTTTATTTTTTTCTCTTCCTATCCGACAAACATAGACACATACTAAAGTTTTCTATATGATTTTCAAAATTTTACAATTTAGATTTTTTTCCTTTTAGGTAAAATAATGACGTTATGTATTTTATTAATTTTCTATAATACGTATTTATAAATTTTGTCTAATTGCATACTTTTAACTTAAAAAGTCTGTCTCTTTTTACCACAGCGTAGATACAATTTAACAGAAAGAGCCGAAAGACTACTTTAGTTTAACATATGGTATTAGACCGAATTAGTAATTTTGAAAACTTTAAAAAAACACAAATAAATAAATAAAATTAGCATCAGAAATAGAATAACTCCATATAAAAAATTACTATAAAAGTAAAACAGTATACAAATACAAATTTCCTATTAAAGTTTAATGTAAAGCGTCTGTGTTACAAAGCACTGTACGACAAAAATTCAAAGAGAATACTTTCCGAAATTTTAGTTTTTCAGACCCTACTTAACTACTACTAACTATTATTTATCCCAAAATATAGCAAGCAGCATTAATCAGTTAGAGCAAGCAATCTTGTAAGTGACATAGATACAGGTAATGTAAGGAAGGTATTAGGAAGCCATAAAAGTGAGGTGGTTTAAAATCAAGGTTTCGCGGTCGGATCGATACAGTCGATTTTTATTGTAACTTTAATCAGTACTGCAATTACTGGTTTGTGGAGATGAATGGCTTGACTCCGATAGAGCCTTCATTATGTCCCTTATAATATCCGTTCTCTTTCCGTTTTATTGAAAAGTGAAAGTTTCAGTATAATTCTGAATACCTAATTCTTGGGGGTTACGCTTTGATTAAGTTGAATTTTTCTTTTCTTCGGCTTCTCATATAAACATACATACTTTCGTATGCGTTTGTTACGTATGATGCAGGTTTAGAACTATGAATCACAATTTGTAAGATATTCCTCCATATTTGATCAAAGTAATAAATAACTTGAATAAATATACCAGTTGGTTGGTGGTTGTTAATGTAAATAAGCTAAAACTTAAAACAGCAAATATGCAATTAATGGTATGAGAAGATTATAAATTAACAGTTATTAAATTTTTCCAAGCACATTTTAAGAACTCAATATTAAAAAAGGCATGTAGTAAAAATAAATAAACTATAAACTTATTATTTAGTGATAATTTTAAGTATTCGTAGCATACGCTGTAGTCTCTTTGTGACTCAGTCAAGTAGAAAGGTCTCTTCACAACACCTGTGACCTTGGTACTTAGGGTACTGAACTAACGAAACATTTCCGCATTTCGTTCGTATTTTTTTTTGCTATCGAAAAATACCCCTTGATGAAAGAAAAAT